CTTCTGTTTTAAAGAAGTATAGAGACAGAAAATGTTAGATAATAATCAGTACTATGCAGAAAAAATACACTATCAAGGGGATAGAGAAAGAAGCTGCTATTTTAGACAGGATAGTCTGTCATACTATCTCTTAAAGACTTGAATGAAGTAAGGGGTGCAAGGTTTGGTTGTATCTGAGCAAATGTATTTCAAGCAGGAAAAAAAGGAAGTAGGAAGATCCTGGAAAGGGATTACCTGGCATGTTTGAGGAACAGCAAAGAGCTCAGTGTAGCAAAAATGGTAAAGAATCAGGGACCAGATATTTGTTTCAAATGTAATCTGGTAATTTGTCTAAACAAGTGATAAGTTTTATACAGTTGTCATATTTCTTAGTATTTTTAATTGCTCAGATAATACATTTAAAGTGGCTAACATGAAGTAAGGCCTTTTTGTAGAGTTGTCACTTGGTAACCATTGGGGCTGGTTCCAGGACCACCCGGGGATACCAAGATCGGCAATGCTCAAGTCCCTTATGTAAAATGATGTAGTATTTGCATGTAACATATGCACATCTTGTTGTATACATTAAATCATCTCTAGATTACTTACAATACCTAAAACAGTGCCTAGACATCACATTTGTGTGGATTCAATGTCATATCATACTTGCTGCACATCAGATTCAAGTTTTGCTTTCTGGAACATTTTGGAATTTTTTTTTTCCTGAGTATTTTTGATCAGGAATTATATTTTCTTTCTTTTCTTTTCTTTTCTTTTTTTATTTTTTTGAGATAGAGTTTCGTTCTTGTTGCCCAGGCTGGAGTGCAATGGTGCAATCTCGGCTCACTGCAACCTCCGCCTCCCAGGTTCAAGTGATTCTCCTGCCTCAGCCTCCCAAGTAGCTGGGATTACAGGCATGCACCACCATGCCCAGCTAATTTTTTTTGTATTTTTAGTAGAGATGGGGTTTCTCCATGTTAGTCAGGCTGGTCTCAAACTCCTCACGTCGTAATCCGCCCGCCTCAGCCTCCCAAAGTGCTGGAATTACAGCACCTCCCAAAGTGCTGGGATTACAGGCATGAGCCACTGCGCCCGGCTATCAGGAATTATATTTTCAATATAATTTCTTGGTTGAATCCCATGAATGCAGAAGCCGCAGACACAGAGGGTCGACTATATATTATATACAAATTACTATTTAAAACCATAATTAGATGAATAAGACAATTTTTAAGATACGATAGATCCTCTAGTTATTCACTGACACCTAAAAATATATATATTTTTTAAATTACTTATTTTAAATTACATAGTGTCTTAATGTGAAAGGAACAGTGCTAAGAGCTCGTGTATACTCATTATTTATAGATACATTAAGCCATTATGAAATGATCATATTTTCACAATAATAAGCAATTGCCTGGTTACCTAAAATTTAATTTGCTCAAATTTATTACTAGAGGACTTAGTAAGCTTAGGTTTGTTAAGGACAACAGAAAACTCCTATGTGGCTTGAATAAGATAGAAGTTTGTTTCCCTTACCAGAAACGTTAACACTCAGAAACATTAACACTCCTAGAGTAGTTTGGTGATTTTCATGGATTGAAGCTCGTTTTTATCTCGTTCTTCTATTATCCTGAGAACACAGTTTCTGCCTCATGGTTTAATACGGCTTCTTCACTTTAGCTATCACATCAGCATTTCAGCAAGCAAGAAAGAGGAAAGGAAGGTCTTCCCTTTTAAGGATACAATACTTCCCAGAAATTGCACATACCACTTTCACTTCATATCCCACTGGCCAGATCTTACATTCAGGGGTACACTTATCTACAAGAAGACTGGGCTACGTATGTAGCTTTTTGGTTTTTTGTTTTTCATTCTGGGAAGCTCTGTATCTGTCTAACTTTGATGACTCTATTAGGAACAGTGTACACCTATCAGTCCCTGCACCACAGGTCTTTTAAACAATAAGGAGAGATTAGTTTTATAGTAATATGGGTTTTTTTCTATTTTTCTGTATTAAAACTTAAATTATCAAATATACTATAGAATATTCTGTGAATTTTTTAAGAGATAAAATTGTCCTACAACCAACCATATATACTATTATATACCTTTATGTTATCAATATAAAGTAATTATTAAGATAGTGATTAAGAGTATGGAGCCAAACTGCTTAGGTTCAGGTTCTGCCAGTGCTACCTGCCAGTGGTATAACCTTGGGCAACTTACCTATTTAACTTTTTGTGACATAGTGTCGTCATCTTAAAATGGGAAGATAATAATACCTAAGTCATAGGATTGTTGTTAGGATTAAGTAACTGGTTGTAAAGAACGTAGAAAAGCTCCTGGCTCAGAGTATAGCCTCAGATGCTGTTAGTTCTTACTATCAATTGGCAGGTTCTTAGTGAAAGTACTTTTAATAATACCCTAAGTAAAACATAACTTTAAAAGTTAACCTATGAAGATGCATTAATGTTTCCACTGGGGTGGAGAAAAGGTGGTTGGGTATCTTTAAAATGAGTCTAAATTTGCTTATTTCATTTGCAGTACTTTATTACTTATATTAAGAGATTTTCTTAGGTAGAGAGCTGTAGTATTTAGAATATGTATACATATGTATACAACATATACATATGTATACAATGTATACAGTATATGTTACTTTGCAAATAGTTGTTTTTTAAACTTTCCACAAAATGTGTGCCTTTTAAAAGTCTATTCAGAGCCATAATAGCAAAAGATTATTAGCAGTGAAAATATTTTTTCTTAACCTGTATCTTGAGATAAATAAATGAACAGGAACCTATTACAGTTGAGAACCTATTAAAGTTGTAGCTGGGACTACAAGCATGAGCCACCATGCCCAGCCTCTAAATGGGTTTGACGGTTTAAAGTTGAGAATCTTTCAAGGTGGAACTAGGCTTCATGTTAAGGCTTTGTGTAATTTACTTTTCCAGGAAGTCTTGCCTTAATCCCTGGGCCTGATTACTATAGACTCTGTTGTGTTTTTTTATATAGCATTCTGTATGTAACTCTTTTAGCACCTAGCATATTTTATTGAAGCTGTATATTTGTGTCTATCTCCCCTACCATATCATAAGATTATGTCCCACTCATGTTTACATCATCTACATCCTACACACTGTCAGTATCGTAGATTTAATTAACTTATTATGCTGAACAGTGAAACAGGTTGCCACTTTGTAGGAGTTTTTTTTTTTTTTTTTAATCTTAAGTCAGAAATTACAGTAATTTATTCAAGGCCTTAAATTGTTCTCCAAATTTGGCCATCTGCAGCAAGATGTTTAGAAATAGGCATATTTCCAAAATAAGCTATAATACTTCAAAGTAATGTTCTGTGTTACTGAAGTGCAGTTTAGGCAAGCTGTGCTTCCTGGCTCTTTATTGTGTACCTCCCATATGTGTGCTTCTATTTCTCCATACCAAGGTATCACAACAAGAAATTTACTGGTATGTTTTAGAGTATGACAACTTTATTTAAGAGGTCATTTAGTTAACTCATGTCATGCTGTGTGAAATGCAGGAGTAAATAAGAGATGGTAGATAATCCTTTTGATAACACGTATTTTGCCTGTGTTGAGTCTGAAATCAAAATGTCCCACAGTTAACTTAGAGCTCAGGTGAAGTGTGTGTGTGTGTATGTGTATGTACAGGTAACATATTTGTATATCATATATTTACATATTTTAGTGTCAAAATTGGATTATTTTTACCACTTACTCTTGCATTGGAAGATGATCAAACTCTTTAATTTCATAACTAAAAGTCAGCCGACAATCTCCATCTTATATGTGGGCCTGTAGGGTGTAGAGGACTTGCTGAGGTGATAAAGGTAGATGCGGTTAATCTGTAGAGGACTTGCTGAGGTGATAAAGGTAGATGCAGTTAATCTGTACTCCTTATTCATGTGCTAGCTAGCATATTGTTTTGTTTTTAAAGGGACTGTACTGAAAAGTACTAAAATGCAATCCCAGACATTTAATTTTTAGATATTTTTCAAATGGGCTTTAAATTTATTATTATTATTATTCATTTGTTAGAGGCAAGGTCTTGTCCTGTTGCTCAGGCTGGAGTGCATTGGCACAAAATAGCTCATTATAGGCTCAAACTCCTAGGCTCAAGTGATCTTCCTTTCTCCACCTCCCAGCTAGCTGGGACTACAAGCATGAGCCACTGTGCCCAGCCTTTAAATGGGTTTTAATGTGCTATTCTAATAGTCCCATTAGAGATTCAGGCATTTGAGAAAATCCTGTATTTTATAATAGACTAAAAATAATGGTCATCCTAGCTATTGGCATTTATCAAACAAGTGTTATGATGTAAAAATGCTGGATAAACCACAGAATGTTTCATGCATACCTTTTTTCTTCTCCACAGCAGTTCATAATACTGTTGTCCCTTCTGCATTTAGTAAATAAAAAACTTTTGAATGAAGAATGACTCAGAGGAAATACTATGCTACTATGCTCATCAGCTTTAGTATTTTTATTTTTTATTTATTTTTTTATATTTTTAATCATAAACTTGGAAGAAGTTTTCAATATTTGTAATATAAGATGTTTTCATTAACCTTATTTATTTAAATATGACTTTATAAAGCCACATTGGCAAGTTGAGATGAATTTTTCTGCTTATTTTTTATTTTAACATTTTAATTGTTTTTGATTTAGGAATATGAACTTCTCTCAAGTTTTATTTTTGACAAGAGATCTATAGATAAAATTACAAACAACTTTGAAAAAATTTTAAAAATTCACATTTCATATTAAACTTGCAAGATTAGGATATGATACGTATATTGTTTTTACATTTCCAAAAATAAATAAGCTTTATTCTATTGGCGTTGCTCCCAAATCACATTGTAATCTTGTGAAAAATACCGTGCTCAATAATTTTCTCTTTACACCACCTTTGTTTGTTGTTGTTTTTTGTTTTTTTCTTTTTGCTTTTCAAATAACTCCATAATCTTCAAACTCACCTTTCCTGTCTTTTTAAAGGTCGATTGAGCTATCCACATCCAGGAACTGACAATCTATTGATGTTAAATGGTAAGTTTTATAAAAACATTTTATGTTTCCAATTGGTTTATATAAAGATGATTTAATACATGTATCTCTGAACCTCTCCATACACACAGTTTAATCATTCTATGAGTATAAAAATAAAGTTACTACTATTCCTATACAAAAGGCAGAATTAGGAATCTGAGTGTGTTCTGACTGGTAAAGCCGTCATTTGTAACAGTATGACTAATTCAGTGATCACAGACTTGGAGGCAGTCCTGGTTTGAATATTGCCTTTCCAGTTTCAGATATGACCTTGGACAGATTACTATTACCTTAGTTTCCCCATCTGTGTAATGAGAATATAGTCTCAAGGTTTATTGTGAGATTCAAATGAGATGTTTGCAAAGTGCGTAGAACTTGTTACTTAGTGTAGCACTTGTGTTTGTGGTTAAATAAGGAATATACTGGTGACTATAAATATTGTGATCACACTAAACTTATTCAAACTAGAAAACTTACATAGTGAAGTTCACCAAAGTAAGGAAAATAATAAATTTTCGTTAAAGTTAGTTTTCTTTCTGTTAGACAAACATTAACATATTCAGAGTCTCAGTACTTAGCACATCCGTGATTGTGGGAGTAGAGATGGAGGATTAAAATATCCTTCACAAGAGTATTTTTAAGTCAGAGGGTGGGTGTGGAGAGGGAAATAGGAAGGGGAAAGAATAGAAATAGTATTAATATTTACTTTAAAAAACAATATCATTAAAATGGCTTGGCTCTTGTATTTCAACTAAAGCTTTGCTGAAATAACATGGCAATGAAGTTGAGGAACAAAGACTGAAGATAAGGTACATGTAAAGCTAGACCATGTGAACTAGTATTAAGACAGAAGGATGGAGATAAAGTCTAGGCCACATAGGAGATGGTCAGGGTAAGTAGGATTTTCGGTGAGAAAAATTGAAGAAGCCGAGCATTAGATGAGGTGATTGATTTAATCATTCAGCATTTCACTGTTGAGTTGTCTAGCACATGCCAGCCTAGTCTAAGCATTGGGTTATCTAATTAGTGAGAATCCTACAGGGTGGTTGTGGTCAGAATTGCCAGGGTACTACTGGGGCCGTACTGAGTCATGTGGAAGCAAAGAACTTAGTATCCACAGTGTATCTGCAACTTACATTATTAGTTATACTAAACATTATTAAACTAATTGATGATTTTGTCAGTTGCGAAAAGCCCTTATAAATAATCTAGATGTTAGGTGGAAAAGTGTTTCATCACACAGCAGAAAGAAGAGTATTCAGGCCAGAGTTGCATCTTGTGGACAAATCTGCTTTGTATATTATGTGAGTAGTCTTAGTAGTCTGTCATTTGGGGCGACAATGCATACTCAGTACAGGAAGCTAGCCTGGAAACTCTGAACTTTTTCTGGCAAGGTACTAGCAGGGAGAAAAAGATAATTAAACTAGGACATGAAAATGTGTTTACATCAGGAAAAGAAACAATTTGATCCAAAGAGAATTTTTTTTTAACTTTTTTCGAATCATTGGTTGAGAGTAAAGCAAGATAATTGGGAATATTTGTGGGTTAAAGAAGTCGCAACATAATTGGGAATATTTGTGGGTTAAAGAAGTCTTGAATATTAGGGATTTAAATAGTTTTAGTAAACACCAAGGTTATTGAAGAGAGAACTAGGCAAAGAAATGTACTAATAGGTAAGGGGATATTTTTCTTGAACTATTTTTTAACTATGTGTAATTCAGTTATATTCTTAGCATATGGTCTCCCTGGGAAATGTGAGAATTAAGTGATATTAGTATTCTTGTACTAAGTATTTATTAAATGTTATTGACGGATTAAAGAAATTGTTGTTTCTCATAGTACATAGACCGACTTTTTGAATTATGAAAGTTTCTCTTTAAGTATATCACGTTTAACTCACTTTTAGGCATTTGGTTAAGTAAGTTGAATTAACTGACAGAGCTAATATTGTTAATTTTAAAAATCAATGTTTAGTAATAAATTTTGCATCAGTCTTTTTATAGTGGTGTAATAGTAGCTAGCTCATAGTGGTTGCTAACATAGATTCTGGAGCCAGATTATCTGAGTTTAAACCCAGGTTGGCTTTTTCTATCTGTGTAACCTTGAACAGCTTACCTAACTTCACTTTGACTCAGTTTGTTTATGTCTAAAACAGAGATTAGCATACTGCCTGACTCAGGGGGACTGTTGTGAGAAGTGAGTGAATTCCTTCATGTAAAGTATTTAGAGCAGCTTCTGAAAGTGAATGTTAGCTAAGTAGTGGGTGATGGTGAACAGTGATAAAAATTTATTTGAAAGAGTAAAAATCATGTCCTATAAATACATGAAGTTAGGTATGTCTGTGTTGGAAAATATAAACTTAAGAGAAAACATAACTGATATTTTAAACTATTTGAGGTATATTACAAGTAGCTAACAAAGATGGCCCATTTTGTGTTCTTGCAGAAAGCCAAACTAGAACTATTTGTTAGAAACTATCTTGGGACAAAGTTTAGGTAAAATAACCCCCCAAAAAGGTAAAATAACTCTCTGAGGCATTGTTTCCTAAAGTGTGATGCTGTTGCTCCTTGGAGTACCCAAGATGACTTTTGATGTACACAGATACCCACTAAAATAAATGCGTGACTGTTGCAATTAAAGAACATTCCTTAGAAAATGCAGAACTGACAGAAAGCTGACAGTGATGCTAGGCTTGAGTTTCTTTAATAAAACATACTATTACAATTGTTAGGGCCGATATGGCAAATATATCTGTAAACATATCTGTAAAGATTTTATGATTCTACCTTAATAGTTAATCAGCAGTTATGGTTCATCTTTTAAATATTCCTTTAAGTAAGAAATAAAGAGAAAATGAGATAAAAGCCAGGAAGTTGATCAAACTCATTAAAACTATGAAGTGTCTCTGGCAAATCCTTAACTCTAAGCATCTGTTAGCTCAGATATATAGTTTTTTAAAAAAGAGGTGTAATACAATAAATACCTGTATATCTCATGAGGCTGTAGAGATATGTTTAATTTAAACAACAAAAAAGCCATATAAATATAACTACAAGCAGTCTCCTTCTGAACAGACCATATTCCCCAAATTAAGTTGAATTGACTACTGGAGACTGTCACTATTGAAGAATTCAAATATGTTGAAGAGTCCATATTTAGCATCCAGAAGCACTTTAGGGAAGTCACGTTATATAGAATTGTGTAGATTGTCTTGAAACCAAAGGTGAAGTGCTTCTGAAGTTAGAATGAAAGTATGTATGTTTATATTTCTAAATGTATAAATCCTAAACACTTTTTATTATAAGTAGCTTTAAAAAAAACCCTGTAAAGAGCAATACAAAATGATGTATCATTCAGTATTTGTATTAATATTTGAATTATATTTTCTTTACCCCTTTCTCAAGGAAAATAGCTTACATTTTTGTTAGTACATAACATTTTTCAAAAGAGAAACAAATAGAGCAGAAGTATTGGTGGCCAGGACGGGGTGTGGGAATGGTATTATCAAGCTAGTTAGAAATGTAAATCTGCTGTGATAACCCAAGTACAGCTATGTATGTGATAAAGAGCTTACTGTACTTTCTGAGAGGAAAAAAGTTATGTGTATCGTTTAAGAAAATTAAGTCAGTAATTGTATTTCTGAAGGCAGACGCTTTAACTATATCTATTCAGTCATAAAAATAGGAAAGTGGGGTAGCCATCAGTTCTTTTTTTTTTATGCTGGTGGAATGAGTGGAGGAGATAAGCTTTTTGGGGGTCTTGAAAAGGACTATGATTTAGGGGCCAGTCGCGGTGGCTCATGCCTGTAATCCCAGCACTTCAGGAGGCTGAGGCGGGCAGATCACGAGGTCAGGAGATCAAGACCATCCTGGCTAACACGGTGAAAACCCGTCTCTACTAAAAATACAAAAAAATTAGCTGGGCGTGGTGGCGGGCACGTGTAGTCCCAGCTACTCAGGAGGCTGAGGCAGGAGAATGGCGTGAACCCGGGAGGCGGAGCTTGCAGTGAGCCGAGATTGGCCACTGCACTTCAGCCTGGGCGACAAAGCAAGACTCCGTCTCAAAAAAAAAAAAAAGGACTATGATTTAGAAGCATAGTTCTCTCCTTAGTTTTGGCTTTTTCAAGTTGAAAAACCTAAAAATGTCATTAGGTTCCTCATCAAGAGAACTTTAGCCTGTATTTCCAGCTGATTTAATGTGTTTGCCTATCCCTTCCTCTAGCTGCAGTAGTTCAGTTACAACTGTAGCTGAGAGTCAATACATATATGACCCTACAGTTTCTAGTCAGAATATTAGAATCATCCTGTTTTTATTTTTTGTAGCTATGGATTAGAACCTTAATAAGACGATTTGGAAACCAGAACCAAAATTGTGAAGTCGCTTGTCTTCAGGCTTTTCTCAAAGCCTTCTTATTTTTAAATAAATAAGGACACACGTGTCAGTAATACATGTTTAATCTACCTGTGCTTATAAACGTGAACAGGTATGTTAAGTAGCCAGCTCCTCATGTTATTTTTGTAACACTTCATAGGTGTTCTTCATTTTTATACAAGTTTTTCCTTTTAAAAATCATATTCTCAATGAGTTTGAAGGACATAATGTTTTAAAAAGTCTTTTTAAAAACATAAGTCACTTAGTTTTTTTCTTAATAGGTAGGTGTTTCTCATAATTCTGATTCAGAATTATAATGGAACATACTCCAGAAATTCACATAGAAATATTGGTAGGAAAGTGAATACACACACCATTGTTTAGTGTGCAGATTAGTTATTTCCATAACAGGGAATAGGAAATATTTCACATGGTTTAGCTTCATCTGTAGTCAGTTCTATTTTTGGTAATGTAGATACTTGGAATCTGAGAGTTGTCCAAAAAATAAGTAGAATAGCTCTTTACAGGATTCTAAAATTCCTCAGGTATGAGATAGTTGGAGAAATTTTCTAAATGATTATGTTCAAGCCAAGGAATGAAAACTTAAGATGCTATGAAATTGATGCATATTTTTACCATTTTAGTATTGAGTAGCCTCAGCTAAGAACATAAACTGGCTATGATACCATTAATTTTCTTAGTAGGTCAAGAATTAAGTGTGACATTAAGACTTCATAATTCATCATTTGACTTTAAACTTGATGAAAATATTTTTATTTGCTTTGTAAATCTTCAGCTTTCTACACCTATGAATGAAATTCTCCAAAACAAATTCATACTGGATTAATAGCATTAGGCTATGCCCAGGGATAAGCAGGAAACCCAACTGACTCATCCTGTGAAGTGGTTTGGGGACTGTTGACCATTTCTAGGCTTAATACAACTATTCACTCTTCTGTAGTCTATTTTTTCTTTTTTTTTTTTTTTTGTGTGTGTGTGTGTGTGTGTGTGAGAGAGAGAGAGAGAGAGAGAGAGAGAGAGACAGAGTCTCATTCTGTCTCCCAGGCTGGAGTGCAATGGCATTATCTCAGCTGCCTGCAACCTCTGCCTCTCGGGTTCAAGCAACTCTCCTGCCTAAGCCTCCCAAGTAGCTAGGACTACAAGTGCCCGCCACCACGCCTGGCTAATTTTTGTATTTTTAATAGAGACAGGGTTTCACCATATTGGTCAGAGTGGTCTCCAACTCCTAGACTCAGGTGATCCACCCACCTCAGCTTCCCAAACTGCTGAGATTACAGGCGTGATCACCCGTGTGCAGCCCTATAGTCTATTCTTGATCACTCTATTATAATTTCTTGTATCAGTCTGATTTTTCACAGTTGATCTCCCATCAGGTAGAGTTTTTTAAAAACTTTTATGTTTAGAAGACCTAGACAACAAAATATTAAGTGCTGCTTTCACCCCTATCTCAGGAGAGGAGGAATAATATATAGGTCAGGTAAGCTATGAAATAGATCTGCCAGACTTTGAGGTAATTGGAGCTCAAGGATAGGTTAAGTGTGCAACAGATTATATAGCTAAAGACACTAGAATGGCAGAGATGCACATGAAGTTATTTTATATAAAAGGGTCTGATATAAGCCTTATATTTATTGACTTATTTCTTAGAATTTAAATGACCAAGAGTTGACAAGGTTGTTTTTCCCACTTTTTATTAGAGGAACTAGTGTGTTATAGACACACTTCCTTGTAGTAAAGCATTAGTATAAAAGAGAATGTATTTCATAATGTGAAATGTTTTCTTTTGATCTTTAAGTTTTATATTTTTAGGTAGACGTTTCTGACAACTTTCAGTACATATTTTTACTTGAGATTTATTCACTATTGAATTTTTTGCAGGCCTAAAAAAATCTGTGAATATGAAATAAGATCTTAATTTTAACAGTCTTTTTTTGTTTGTTTACTGCTTTGACTTCATATTTTAATTTCAGGGTAAAAATACTCATTGTGTATTCAAATTTGTGGGGAGGAGTTCCTTTAAAACAATTTGTGGATTTTATCAAACTGGTAGTTTCTTATGAAAAAGAAATTACAGTCTTTTTGTTTTTCCATAGGAATTATGTCAATGCAAGTAACATAGATAGAAATGCCTATCTACTTCTATGGTATTTAACATATGTACTATTCTATGGTCATGTTCATAGTAATTTGTATCTGAATCCCTCTTACCTCATAGGTAGACATAAAAACAATTAGTAGATAGCTGTTATACCGTATATTAAAATGATGGAAAGCATTATTAGCTATAGTAATTTCTCTAAACAAGTTTAAATGTTGATTTCTTAAATCCTGTCTAATCTGTACAGGCTTCAGAGTGTCAGTTTAATAGTGGTGTATCTTCTCAGTCATCTGTTCTTCTAGGACTACTTCCATGCAGGGCTTGGTATAATGTGGATTGGATCTGAATAGCTATTTATTGGACTATATATGCCATACCATTCTTTATAATAAGTGGAAAAATAAGCATTTAGTTCAAGTTGTTTCCATTCACTGGGAAAATTATTTGGGATGCTATTTCCTGCAAAGTGTTATATATTTCTATCATCATTAGATGAAACAAATATTTGTGAATTTTAACACAAATGCTAATAAATGGTGTATTTCTTGTTCATTTCAGAGTTTTATGTGATTCAGATGATATATACTTACCTATAAATAAAAGTCCTTTGTAGAATGGTAAAACATGCAAATCTTACATGGTGACTTTGTCATTGCTCTTAAAGTAGCACTAATTTTCAGATGCCCACATAGCTTTTCATGTCAGAAATATTTGTATATGTGGGCTTATTTTTTAGTTCTGACATTTTACAATTTGTCCTTTGTTTACATGCAGCAAGGAGTTATGGGCGAAGACGAGGTAATTCATTTCCGTTTGCTATGGTATAATTGTTTCTAATTGGGTTTACTGATCAATGTTGTAATTACTCTAGATTTTTCATGCAATCTCTGAAAACTCACAATTGTATTTTGATTTGAGCACTTGTCGAAGTTTTTAATTTTAAATCTCTTTAACTTTCGAACTGTATTTTTATACTAATTGTGGTTATTTAATAAATTTTCCCTTTTTAAACTGTTGAGATTTAACTCTAGTTTTTAAAGTTATTTCTGTATCTCTTAAAGATGCTATTTATAGTTTGTCTGCTTAAATATGTTTAATATTAGTGAAGGTAGCATGAAGTATGATTTTTCTACTCTCTAAATGTGTAACTGTCATATTTATGATGTATAATTTACAACTCTAGCTTGTTAGTTCTATCTTGACCCAGTTGAAAATAATACACACCAAATAGATTATTGTTAACACTGATTTATAGAAATAATGTTGCTTATATTTCTCTGTTTTCTAAGAATGTAACCCTTTCTTTCCCTTTCTTTCTCTCTCTCTCTCACACACACACACACACATACACACAAAGACATACCTTCTCCCCTTTCCTTTTTCCTTTCCCTCCCCCACTAAAGTATTCCCCACAGAGTTCTCGTGTGTTATCCTAAGGAAAGAGGACTATGTGATGCAAGACTATTATTGAACTTCCTAGGAAAGCAGCTGATGTTTTCTGTGGCTGAAGCTGCTTCTCCTTTTGCCATGTGCAGACTAGTAGATGGGATGAGAGGAAGCAAAAGTATGCCACTAGATTGTTCTCTAAATGAGCAAAAATCATGATGTTTATATTGTTAGGCTTATTCCAAGTGCCACACTGAATAAAAAGAGTTTTATTTGACCTCTAAAAATCTCCCTTAAGCTATGGAGGATAGACAGTGATAATAATGCCCTTTGATCACTTTTATATACATGTGCTAGTGCTTCCATTTCTTTTCAACTAGTCATGAATGTGTGTACTTTTTAAACAAGCAAAACCATTTGCCACAACTGACAACCAAAACTAGTATTTTATATTCTTAAGTGCTCCCAATTTTATATTTCAGATTATCTGAATTTAACTTAATTTTTTAATATGTTTCTTCAAATGCTTGACTGAATCTTTTGGTTCTTCAGTTTTCAAACTAAAAATTTAGAGGAGATAGACACTCAAGATTTAGAAAATTGAAGCGGAAGAACTTTTCTAAAGACATAGCAAGCTGAGAAGTGGGGAAAGTTTGGAAGTTTAGTACTATTTTCAAACCTATGGACTAACTTATTTCACTATGCCATTTTAATAATGGAGCTTCAGTTCTCTGAAACACAACCCACTTACCAATCTGTGATTTTTAGGCATTTTGAAGCTATAGAGCAATTCAGAATTCTTGCCTTGTTAAATATTTTTCATCTTTTAACTGTTGTGGCTTACGTTTAGTCTAATTTCATATACTCTCATGTAAATATCATGACCTAAGAAGTTTTTAGGAACAAAGTATTAGGAAGTAGTGTTATTATTTGTCTTCTTCTCAGTTCAATAATTGTAGATTATGATTGTGATATTAAGAAAAAGCAAAAATTTTCCCCTGCTTTTATATAGGAACCTGCTTTCGTTCCTGTATATCTCTATCCGCTAGAAGCCATAAAGAATTATTTGACTTCAGAACTGCCTTCCTGCATTGGAAGCAGGAAGACTCTCACGTGGTTTTAAGGCTTCTGATAAAAGCTTCCATTAGGACAGAACTGACGATTGGCACACATATTTGGCTTAGCATAAGGGGGAATGAATGCCTGAATTTTCATCTCAGATTATATGGCCTTAGTAAATTTTTAGCTCATCTTCTATGAACTTTTAAAACTTCTACTTTTAAAACTTCGATTGTGAGAGTCACATGAAAGCCACACTCATTAGAAATAACTACTGAGAGATTTTATCTGAATTTTAAAGTACACTGAAACAGTAAGTAATGATTTTTTTAAAAAACCTGCATACCAAAGGAATGACTCAGAAATGGGTAGTCACCTGGTTTTCTTCCTATTTTTTACTGTTTTTTTCCTGTTCCATCCTAGATATAACAAACCTCAGACTGATAACCTTTTTACCACCAAAGACCCCCTTTTATATAGCCTCATGTTTTAGATTTGATCCATCAAAGAAACTGCATTTGTTTAGAATTATTTTGTTAAAAATGAGTTGCTTATCTTCTGTTCATGTGGGATGTGTCACACTGAGTTGATATAATTTTTGATAAAAATAAGTCGTGGCTCTTCTGCCAGTGCAATAATGGGTGAACAGTTATTTTCACGGGACATTCTTACTTTGACTTTTGTAGTCCTGTTCAGGAAGAACTGTTTTTCTTCTTTCATGTAAAAGATTTCTCACTTGACTACAGTCAAATCAAGTTAATACCAAAACGACTTTATGTACTTGAATTTCTTAATAATGTCAATAAGAACTTTAAAGCTAACTCTAGATATTAATTTATGAAATATACTTTAGGAATAATCAAAATGTAATTATGCTAGTAGTAGTTAAGAAAAGCAGAGATTTCTTTCCCTGCTTTTTAGTTGGAACCTACTGCCACTACTGTGTGTCTCTGTCCCCTGGTAGCCATAAAGAGTTCTACTTTAGAGCTGCCTAGGGGGCAGTATTAGGAAGGAAAAGGGTTCACATGGGGAGCTGACTTTAATATGGAAAACTACTTATCATTTGTATTTATTTTTTATTCATTGTTTCTTCCATTCCATTCTGAGAGTGAACATACTTGTTCAGGATTCAAGTAGGATGAGGGTTGTGAAGGGAGGTGTGAAGTGTAACTTAAGTTCGATCCTTTCAACTTAAACTATTTCTATAGCACAATCAGTTACTTTAATAAAGGATTAAAGGGCTACTGTGTTCCAGAAGGAATAAAAATATGTAGAATATTTTTAGTAATAGAAATAAAAACTTATTTTAGTTAATGGTTCTAAGCCCCAGGAGGCAATCCTTTTAAGCAAGTAAACCCAAAGCTTGAGTTAGTAGATTACATATGGAATGAGAAGATAGGAGAAATAATTTTAAAGGGAGACAAATGATGGAAGTTTAATTAGAGAAGTTTGATTTATTCATAATGTATAGTCATTCAGACTTATGTGCTATGATAAATAAGGAATTATTGAAAACGCAGTATGCTATATACTGCTTTAAAGTTGATCCAGGATTTGCTATTTGAAACAATCTTGTGAAGTACCCAGTGTTGGCAGTTTTACTCGTGTTGCCCAGGTTGGAGTGCAATGGTCCGATCTCGGCTCACTGTATCCTCCACCTCCTTGGTTCAAGCGATTCTTCTGCCTCAGCCTTCCAAGTAGTTGGGATTACTGGCATGCGCCACCATACCCGGCTAATTTTTGTATTTTTACAAAAATTGTTTCGCCATGTTGACGAGGCTGGTCTGGAACTCCTGACCTCAGATGATCTGCCCACCTCAGCCTCCCAAAGTTCTGGGATTACAGGCATGAGCCACCGTGCCCGGCCAAGTGTTGGCTTTTTAATTTTATCCATTCTGATGGTGTGTAGTCCTTCACTGTGGCTCTAATTTGCAGTTTCCTGATGACTAAGGATGGCATCTAAGCACCTTGTCATGTGCTTCTAACCCATTCCATTGTATTCTTCTGTAAAGTTCCCTTACAAGTCTTTTGCTCATTTTTAATTGGGTTGTTTTTCTTCGTTATGGGAGTTGTTTATATATTTTGTCCTATTTTCCAGCAGTGTATTGTTTGTCATCCACTTTTTACCAGTATCTTTGATAAGCAGAAAAATGTCTAAATTTTCTTAAAAATCCAATTGTTTTCATTCACCATTAGTGTCATTTAGTCCCAGGAAATTATCACTACCCACAAGGTTATGAAGAAATTCTAGTTTCATTGTTTTAACTTTTACATTTAAGTCTGTGATCCTTCTTGGATTTATTTTTCAGTATGGTGTGATACAAGGATCAAATGTATTTCCCCCCCCCAACTAGAAATGCATTTATTGAAAAGATTTACTTTTCCACATTGAACTAAAACATCAAGTGACTGTACATGTGTAGGCCCATTTCTGGACTCTTATGTTCTATTTGTCTGTCTAATATCAGTTTTACAGTCTCAATAACTATAGCTAACTAGTGAGTCTTGAAACTTGGTAGTGTAAATCCTCCAACTTTGGCTTTTTTGTTTGTTTGTTTTGTATGCTTTCCTTGATTGTTCGTAGGTCTTTGATTTATCATAAATTTTAGAACTGGCTTGTGAATTTCTAGAAGACAGTGTGCTGAGATTTTGGATGGATTGTATCCAATCTATAGATTGGATAATTTGGAAAGAATTTACATCTAACATGGTTTCTTTTGTTTATTCATTTATTTCATTTTATTAACATTTTCCACAGCAATTTTTTGTCATTTTCAGTGTAAAAATCTCGCATGTCTTTTCTTAAAGTTTATTTGTCAATATTTGGTGGGTTTGGATGAGATGTGGAAATGATATTTAAAATTTTTCCCAGTTTATTACTAGCATTTAGAAATAATTTGGTTTTTGTAAATTGAATTTGCATTTCTTTCCTAAATACAATTATTTCTACTAGTTTGATTTCTTTGAATTTTACATGTACAATTATGTCTATACCAAATACTTTTATTTTTCTTTGCCAGTACTCATGACTTTAAATTATTTTTTTCATCTTCTTTGACTTGTTGTACCTCCAGTAGTGCAATGCTGAGTAGAAATAGAGTGAACATCCTTCCAAACCTTCAAGAGAAGCCATTTGATAATTTATTATTGAAGACTTTCACTCTTTTTTTTTTTTTTTTAATGCTTTTTATTGGATTGAGGAAATTCCCTCCTACTCCTAGTTTTCTGGGAGTTGCTTTTTTTTTTTTTTTTAAATTATGAATAGCTGTTGAATTTTATCAGATGCATTTCCTACATTTATGGAAATGATTTTATGCTATTTCTGTTTTTGTCTGTTTATGTGGTACAGTTAACAGTAATTGATTTTAAAATGATAAATCAATCTTATGTTCCTGGGGTGAACCCTACTTAATCATGATATGTTTTCCTTTTTTATCTATACTTCTGGATTCATTCCGCCAACATATTTTTTAGGATTTTTGCATTTGTGTTCATGAGGGACATTGGTATATAGTTTCTTTATAATGTTTTTGTCAGATTGCAGTTGTAAAAACAAGTTGTGAAGTGCTTCCTCTTTCTTTATTCCCTGAAAGAGTTTGTATAAAATTGCTGTTTTTTTCTTCTTCAAAAGTCTAGTTAATTTGTCAGTAAAGCCACCTAGGCCTGGATTTTTCTTTGTTGGAATATTTTCTTATTTTGATTTTTGAGTTATGATTTTCATTTTTTAATAGATGAATAACTATTCAGATTTTTTCTCCCTGTGCCATTTTTGAAAAGCTGCATTTTTCAAGGGATTTGTTTCCTCTAGTTGTTAAATTTATTACCATGAAGTGGCTAATAACATTCCCTTTTTCATCTTTTACTGTTTGTAAGTTCTATGTTGATTGATATCTCCTTTTTGTTACTTTATTTCCTTCATCGTACTTTCTATTTTATTTGCTATTCTTTTTCTAGCTTTCTGTGGTAGAAACAAGATGATTTGTTTTAAGCATGTCTTGTTTTCTAATATGCTTTTAAAACTATGAATTTTCCTTTAAGCATGGCTTTTGCTGCATTCCAGCAAAATGAATTTGTTGTGTTTCATTATCATTCAGTTTTATTCCTTTGAGGTGTAAGAACCTGAAAACATACGTATGGTATCATTTAGAAAGCATGTTTAAATTACACTACAGTGGTAGACATAAACTTATTTAATGGTTCTCCTTTTATTGTCATAGTAATTTGAAATATGATAAAAGGATAATTGGCAAAGTAAAAAGTCATACTTTGTCAATGATATATATTCTTTTAAATGAGTGTTTAAATCTGTAGCTTTTATGGCTTCTTGAAAAAAAGCAGTCATTATTGTCCAACAGTGAAGATTCTTGTTAGTATGGCTAGTGTGCTAAATGTTCTTAAACTTTTCATTACATTCTTTGTTTAGCTGAACTTTGTTAATAGATTATAGACACATAGATTATAGATGTTTTTAGTTATATGAATACTAAGGGCAATATTTTATTATAGTAAACAAAAAACTGGAGTCATTTTTGGGTCACTTTTCTCTTTGGCATTGCTTATAGTGTGATTTGTCACCTCATTCTTTTTTTTTTTTTTTTTTATGTAGACCCTAAGTATTTGTGATCCATATTTTTTCTCAACTTAAATGTCTGTTAGAAAGACATTTAAATACTTACTGTATTTGTGACACTGCTAAGTTTTTATTTGTGTTAGGGCATTTTAAAGTGAAAAACTTTCCAAAGAATTGGTATATCTGAAATAAATATAGAATTTGAATTTGTGATTTTTTCCCTTAAAATCAAGTTTGTATGCATGCTGTTTATCTTATTCCTTTTAAAATAGAGAATTATTCAATTAAAGTCTAACCTTTAAAACTTTGACCAGTTATTCACAATTAATATTATTTTTAGTGGATCTTGATGTTCATTTTATTAAGTAAAAATAGTTTCATGTTGAAGAGTTTCCTTTCTGTTGATCACAAAGAAAACTGACATTTTGTTTTATATTGCTTCCTATTTCTAATAACAGGTATTTGAAAAGTTAAGCAATATTCACAAAGTTACTCAGTGAACACGGGTATTTTTCAGAACATCGTATTTAAGCAGCATTTGAATCTTTAGAATAATTCGCTTCCTATATCAAATATCATCTTTCTCTCTGTTGTTGTGTCTTATAAACTAAATTTTTATGTCAAACATCTAGGTAGCTAGCTACCTCACTCTGACAGGCATATGATCCCTTCCTTCTTATCCCCAACCCATTCTCTTCAGGCTGTCACATTTCTAATTGTCTTTGTTTGTATTACTTGCATCATGTGTCATATTTTTCAAGATGCTCTATGGCATGTGATTTAATATATAGACAAATACCCAACATAAAATGGTCTGGTCTGTGGCCTATTTGTTTAATATATAGACAGATACCTAACATAAAACTGATACTGGTCCATGGCCTGTTAGGAATCAGGCCACACAGCAGGAGGTGAGCAGAGGGCAAGTGAGCATTGCTGCCTGAGCTCCACCTCCTGTCAGATCAGCAGTGGCATTAGATTCTCACAGGAACGTGAAACCTATTGTGAACTGCACGTGTGAAGGATCTAGGTTGTGTGCTCCTTATGAGAATCTAATGCCTGATGATCTGAGGTGGAACATTTTCATCCCAAAATCATCCCCCTGCTGTGGAAAAATTGTCATCCACAAAACTAGTCCCTGCTGCCAAAAAGGTTGGGGACCACTGCTATAGATTATATCCATTGTCTCCTATCCAAAAAAATCTTTCAGTTAATATTGAAAGAAAAACAACTTGTCCATATTCTTACTCTGTTTTTCCTTATCTAATATACTTTAAGAACTAATCTTCATTTGATCTCTATACTTAATAAAACTCTAAATACATGCAATGTGACTGCTACCCAACTTTCCTGAAACACCTACCTTCACAGATCATGTATGTCCTCAAAACAACTGTCATTATTAAAAGTAATTATCTTAATATTTCACATTGTTACTTAATTGCTCTTTCGTTCTTTTATTACTTTTTTGGTGCTTCTAGTACAGTAATATTTTGGCTGCCCTCCCACTTTTCTTACCACTCCTTTCTCTAGCTCCTTGAATGTTCTGCTTCCTCCTTGTAAGTTTCCCGAGGAGCTGTCCTCATCATTTCTCACTGGAGTGTTTATCATTGATGTTATGAAGGACCTTAAACTATAACCCATGTGGAGTTGACTCCAAATTATTTTCTCAGAAATATGATATTTCTTTTCTGCACTTCCTTTTCAGCTTCCTACTATACATTTACTTCTGAACATCCTAACAGCATATAAAACTTTACATATCTAAAGCTTAAATTATTTTCCTTTCTCATACCAGTTTCTGGTCTTTACTGTCCTTATATCAGTTAATGGTTCTTATCATTTTCTAAAGTCTTCCTTAGATCTCTCCTTTTTCATTCTTTCTCCCTATTTTGTTTCCTATTTGCTTGTGACTGCCATCCATCTTTTGTGGATTTTTTGCACAACTTCTAATCTGCTCATTTCCAGCTACCTTATCCATATTTACTAACTCTCCCTAATGCACAGAAAAAGTTATAATTTTGATTGAACCCCTGCATCCAGTTGATTATCTTCATCACCTACTAAATGTCTTGTTAGCCTGGCATTCAGCGTTAAATAACTCTAGCTAGCCTCAAAGGGCTTTTCTAGCTTTTACTCTGCTTGTTTCCAACATATTTCAGCCAACCTTGACTATTCCTTATTTCTTAAGTTCAATTTTTCCTACATTTTCTGTTTCTCCTTTCACTTGGGAAAAAGGAAAATTTACTGAAAACCATGTTCCTATAAATATTTCCACCTATAGATATTCTACCCTCTCTAATGCTTCACTATGCACTGCTATTTTTCCCTTTTTATCATAAATACTATCTAATTTCACTTAGAGATTTAGGAAATCTCCCTTTTATTAGACTCCTTTCCTCCAGAGTATGTCCTCTGAGCACTTTAAAGCTTTCTTATGGATGTGTACCATGGTTACATATATACATCTGATCTTTCTAAATGTACATTCCTTGACAGCCGGGGAGTATATTAGGTCATTTAAGTTTTGTGGAGGGATTACCCACAGAGTGGGGATTACTTCTTCAGAGGATTATACAGGATGTGCCCTATACAAGGATTACCTCCTGAAATGTGGGCTCAAATGGGCACTAAAGTGCCAGAGGGGACACCCTTTTCTATTTTGTACATGTGCAGAAGCCCTGTATACCGTTTCATATAATTGGCACACATGTAATAAATTAGGTCAAGACCTTGTATACAAGTGTTACTTGTTCTCCTTATCCTTACTTGCTGTAGTCTACAAGTGATTTTTTATAAATTATATCCCCTTATCTATTTAGTCTGTGTCATTTCCTTTCTGCCACCAGTTTCTGAAAAGTCTTACCTGTTGCATATCCAGTCTAACTGTCCGCATACATTAGGTTCTTGGTTATAACAAATTCTTGCTCATAACAAGTTGAAGTGATCTAGTATTTCTTTTGCAGTTTAATTGTTGACATATGGCTATGTTTATTTCTAAGTCACTCTTTAGATTGCTTCTTTCTTGAATCCAGGTAATTAAAACCACATACTATTTAAATTTCTCTTAATTTTTATGTTCACCTGCATCACCTTCATTTTTAAGTCTTTTAATTTGTCATTGGTATTTTTATACTTAAATATATCATTTTCTCAGATCTGAGATTCAGGTTATATTTGTTCTTTATTCTAGGTCGTTCTTCCCTCTTTCCAATAGATGATGGCTTGCTGGATGATGGTCACAGTGATCAAGTTGGAGTTTTAAATTCACCCACCTGTTATTCAGCTCATCAAAATGGAGAGCGAATAGAACGCTTCTCTCGAAAAGTTTTTGTTGGTGGTCTTCCTCCAGATATTGATGAAGGTATTTATTAAGATATTTATTAACATGGTGATTTGAGCTTTAACAAAAACAAAAAAATATGAAATTTAATGTGAATGGACTATGGAAGTTTTTACCACCTGGAGATTTTCAGAATTAGAATGTGTTTTCTTCTTTTAAAATATTTTATCACCTGTTGAAATATGAAAACAGTTGAACAAAAGCTTTTTTATGATTTTTTTCTTTAGATCTTATCATATTTGTAACTGCGAGCATTTTTGGTAAATAAGATTTTCATGACCTCGGTCATTTCTACTTGTTTTTAAAATAATAGAACATATTTAGGTATATAAAACTTGAAACTTTTTAAATCACCATAATGTGTGCATGCACACACACAATGAAATAAATAGAACCAACCATAAGATTATATCTGCAATGCTTGGTAATCGAAAGTTTTTAATTTCTTTTTGTTTGTTTTGAGACGGAGTCTTGCCCTGTTGCCCCAGCTGGAGTGTGGTGGCACAATCTCGGCTCACTGCAAACTCCACCTCCTGGGTTCAAGCAGTTCTCCTGCCTCAGCCTCCTGAGTAGCTGGGATTACAGGCGTGTGCCACCATGCCCTGCTAATTTGTTGTATTTCTAGTAGAGATGGGGTTTCACTCTGTTAGCCAGGATGGTCTTGATCTCCTGACCTCGTGATCTGCCCGCCTCAGCCTCCCAAAGTGCTGGGATTACAGGAATGAGCCACCGCGCCCGGCCAAAAGTTTAATTTCTTTAAGGATAAATGTGCTCTTAGAAACAGGGAAGAAAGAGGCTATCAAATGCAAAAGGGAAATGGAAACAGAACATGAATAGGAAATTAGGATTTCACAAACACTAATGATTGTATGTGAAAATGATCATGTGTAATTATAACAAAAGAAAATTAATTGAAGACTTAAAATATTAAACTATATTTGTGAGGTTATGGGAAATGTATCACTCATTCGTATATTTTAGAATGTTTTTTAGTTATGATTCAAATACCCGCAAACTTATTTTAAGTATTGATCTTCATAAGATTTCCATGTAATGAAATAACATAAGACATAGCAATTGGTTGTAACCTATATGGATTTCAATGAAACTACCTGGCATGTATCAGACCCTAGTATATTTTTTCAACATTATAGTTATTCAAGTCTTGTTTCAGCAGACCTTTTTTTCCTATAATAAAATGATTTTATTTGTGAAGCAGTAATAGATTTTATTTAACTTATGTAATGTTGGCGTTTTTTTCAATCCAGTGCTATTTGTGGTTTGGTGTACTATAAAGTCATTAGTATCCATACAATGTTATATAAAATTTTAAAATTCACATGCAATTGAGTATTCTAACCAGTGCACTGCTTAAAAATGAATTTATTTTAACAAAAATTGATATTAAGTTTGACATATTATTTCAATAAGTATATTAGACATATTCCCAGTGTTTATATTCTAATTTATCTTAAGGTATTTGGCACTTTTAAATGTTAAATCTTCATAGTAAAAGTACAGAATTTCTTAGAACGAATCACTGAAACTAATTTCTAATGCATATTATTGTACTTTCTTAAGATGAAATAACTGCTAGCTTCAGAAGATTTGGGCCTTTGGTAGTAGATTGGCCTCATAAAGCAGAAAGCAAGTCCTATTTTCCACCAAAAGGTAAGGATTGTTATTGTTAATATTTGCTAGGAAATTGGTTGTATGAGAGCAAAAGAAAGAATAGCAATTACTTAGCCAGTTAGGAATCATAAGAAACTTGCTATGATTTGATAATAATTTCAAAGACTCAAATCAACAAATGTTTGAGTATTTTCTCTGTCTAAAGCATCATTCCAGGTAACTTGGGTGTAGACATGAAACAGGATCTCTCTGCATTATGAAATTAAGATCTATGTGAAGTGATTGGTCTTTTATAAAATATAAATTTATGAACAGTTGAAATATAAGATTTACATTAAGTGTTCTAGATAACAGCAGAGCGGTATAAATTATTACTAGCTCTGTTGATGAATAAATAATTTAGATAAAAGACAAAGTAGCTAGTTGGGTCTATTTTTTTTTTCAGTTATATAAAGATATAAGACTTGAGAAGATGCTTAGTTATGTTAGTCAGTTATTGCTAGGAAGACACTGTGACTGATCGCCACGGGACAAGAATTACAAATTGTGCTAACCTTCACATGCAAGTCACATGATCAAGTCATCATCTGTGGGGAGAGGAAGTATATCCTGCCCACAATAACAAGAGGAAGAGAGGAGAAAGGAGTCAGAATTGCTAATGGAAGATTCTCTGAAATAAGTAAAAGAAAGAAGGAGGTTCAAAGATTAAGACTTTACTTTAAACATTGCTGAAATATAATTTTAGAAAAAGCACATCACACATACTGTTTAGTTTCATGATTTAGTGAATTGTCAAGCCTGGAGAAAAGACTCCAATAGAACTGTTAAATGCTTTGATTTTGACTCTGGGAAATGAAGCATGATAAAGAAGTTATTGGCATATAAAAACTAGGTACAGTATCTACTTTCTGCCATTGAGAATTATAGCACCTCCACTAATAGTTCAAATAGTTTTTTAGATAAATGGAATAATGCAATGATTTTTTTTAATACTTGTAGATCTATATGTATGTATGGAATCAAGAGCATCTTTTGAGTAGGGATTCTGGATCCTAGGCCTCTATAAGAATCTGATTAAAGCTATCTACCTCTCTCCATGTAGTCTGGAGTTTATTGGAGGTCACAAAACCTTGGTTTAGAGAGGAAATTATCTCCACATGGATAGAGATGTTTGTTTATTAGCTAAGTTTTAGTGTTGGCCATAGTTTTACTATCTTGCCATTTCATAAAGTCTACTTTATAAATGCCATTTTTATTGAATACTCAGAGTATTGAGTTATTTTGTAATGTTCTCGACAAACTACCATCATCACTTCCTTGACTCCTTCAGCTGTCTTTCTAGTCTCTCCACATCTCTAGCCCTCTCCAATTTTCTCCTATAGTCCAGCCACAGCAGTCTTTGAAAACTCATTGGATGGTACTATTCCTTACTTACCTGCATAAACCCTTTAGTGGTTTTTCTTATTTTTAGGATAAAAGAAAAATGCATTCACTCTGCCTGGCCGCATCTTCTTTCTAGCTTCTTCTACTACTACTGCTTGTTTCCCTCCAGTCCCACAAACTGGCCTTGTCCTCTCCAGCCTCAGGGCTTTTATGTGTGATAATCTCTAGACTGACGGTGTATCTTCCTTGTGTCTCTTTATCTATATATTCCCTACTTATCTTTTGTATCTCAAGCTTAAGTGTAAGTTGATCACAGAAGACACTGAGGATCTACCAAATGAGGTCAGCTCCTCCTGCCCAACTCCTAGTGCTGTCTGTTTCTTTCACTCCGAGCACTCATCACAGTTGCAGTATTACATTTTTACAACTTTAAAAATTTGTAATTATTTTATTAATGTCAGTTTCTTTCAAAGGTCTGTAAGATAGTGTCTTTATTCACCTTTGTGAATGTTCATATTCTCAATAGTTCACAGATTGTTAACTGCCTAATAAATGAGATAACAAAAAATACTATAGGATGGAGAAATTACTTCAATAGATAGGGGAAAGCTTCACTGAGAGGTTTGGAATTAATTTAAGGTACTGTATACAGATAGATAAAAAGTACTTGAACAGAGTTCCAGGCAGGAATGGAAATAGAATTTTAAAAAGGAATTAGGAATTGTTTGGCTGGAGAGAGATGCACATTTTTGCATGAGCCACTTGTTCACTTACAGGTATGGTGTACTCTAAGCCTAGAAAGATGAGATGGAACAAATTTAATGTGAAACAGAATAGTTGTCTTTATTGCTATTGTTGCTATCATTGTTATTGTGGTTTTGTAGTAGTTTCTCTAATTGAAAAAATAAAATTGGCATTGGCAGTTCATACTTTTTTTGGTACAATTACAGTTAATTGTAGCCATTTCCAAAGACCAGTATCCCCAAACCTTGCTCTTTCAAGCAATTTTTTTATTTCTGTAATTCAGCATTTTCCATGGTTTGGAAAACACTGGTATAGAAGCATCCAGTGGGTGAAGCTACCTTGTAATTACAGCAGTGACTGGAGTCCCTTAGATGCTAAGCCACACATGTACATAAGTTTCCTTTGCAGTGGATAACCTTCACGTTACGTGATTGTTAGCTTGCTTTAACAAATTCGAAAGAAGCTATTATATAGTATGTTTTTGTTAAGAGTATTTTAATATCTAATGACTTGCATTGGGTAAGTCATAATTTACCTGATATGGCTTAATTTTTGTAATATAAACATTTATTCTCTAATAATAAAAATTGAGAAATATTAAAAATACTGAATTTAAAGTATTATTTTAAAATTTAGCAATATTAAAATATTAATATCAAAAATTTTAAAAAATGACCGAATTTAATGTACTATTTCAGTAAATTGGTCTTACACCCTTTTCCTTATTACAAAATAGTTATAGTTCCCAGATCCTTATTTTGTATCAAAATTAAAGCCTTAAAAATGCTTCATTATTTTTAAGAATATTTAAATTGTTTCTAGCAATGTAAAAAATCTAAGACATGTTTTTTAATCCTGTGTAATCTTACCTTTGGAAGTTTGTATTTATATAGGGTGAAATCATTTGTATAGGGTGAAATGGCTTCAGGTATTTTTAATACAATCAGCTATTAATTTTATTAAAATGAAGTACTTTAGTGTCACATCAGACCTTTGTGGCATAAAGCTATTGTTGACAATAGGCTGAGTTTTTTGACTTGAGTAAAACATGACCTTACACTTCCCGTTATATGGTGGAACAGACATACATGGCCTGCTTGATGTCTGCTTCATACTGGGACTAGATTAAAATGCTGTACATTTGTTCACATAGAAATCTTGCCAAGATAAGGGATAGATCATTTATAGCTATCACTTGCTGGGAATAATCACATAATAGTAAACTTGTTGTGTAAATTTTGATGCCTTCTTTTTATAAGTAGTCTATTCTGTCGGCTGGATCATGATTTTTTGTTAAAGATTGGCAATTGGTTGTTTACAAGTCTAGATAGTCTCCAAACAGTTTGAAAAATGTATTCCACTGCTTTCTGAGTTGAGGCTTGATTTAAAAGTTTTGATTCATCTGACCCATGTTTTATTAAGGAACATATTTTATTCCAACCGTTCTACTGTAGCTTTCTTAGTATCATTGATAAGTTTTCGTGGGACTGTGGAATGTTTCCTCTGCTTAGGGGATTTCCTGGACCTTTCCAAGTGTATTCCAGTCTAAAAGTATGCTCTAGAACTTGGATTAACCTGAAGGCCTTTATAGCAAACTTTAGCTCCAGATATACTCACCTGGTTAATTCTACCAAGTTCTTTAAGAAGGTAGTATCACTACTAGAAAGAGCATGGGAGACCTTGGGGCTGACCTGGGTTTGAAATTATTCAACCAACTATTTACTAGGAGACTGACTTCAGTACCTTGATTTTTTTTCTTCTGTAAAATGGGAATTGTATTTCATAGACTTTTGAGAATCAAATAATAATGCACGTAAGTTAGTACAATATCTGATAGATAGCAAGTGTTCTATATAAAGTAGCCAATTGCTTTACTGAGTATCTGTTTTAATGGGTATTACATAGTATATTGTGTTCTCTTGTAGAAGGTAAATGGTTTTTTGTCCTAGTTGTTTTTTTGTTTTTTTTTCCAAAAGCATGTATTTTCTAAATAGTACTGAAATTTGGAGTAAAATCACTTGACTTGACATACTGCCTCATTTTTAATGGTTATTCCAGGCTATGCATTTCTTCTCTTTCAAGAAGAGAGCTCAGTTCAGGCACTAATTGATGCTTGTATTGAAGAAGATGGAAAGCTCTATCTGTGTGTTTCTAGCCCTACTATTAAGGACAAACCAGTAAGTAAATACCACATGAACTTCAGGCTACAAATGTAGATTTTTCAAAAATTGTTTTGAAGTGATTATTAATTAATAAAAGAACAATTAAACTATCATGTTGAGTTTTAGTTTTTGAAACATCCAGATAATTTATAGCAGGAGTCCCCAACCCCTGGGCAGTGGACCAGTACTGGTGGTCCATGACCTATTAGGAACCAGGCCATACAGCAGGAGATGAGTGGCAGGCAAGCCAGCATTACTGCCTGAGCTGCACCTCCTGTCAGATCAGAGATGGCATTAGATTCTCATAAGAATGCAAACCCTATTGTGAACTGCACATGTGAATGATCTAGGTTGCACATTCTTTATGAGAATCTAATGCCTGATGATCGTAGGTGGAACACTTTGATCTCAAAACCATCTTCCACCACCTTCATCCTTGGAAAAATTGTCTTCCTCAAAATTGGTCCCTGGTGCCAAAAAGGTCGGGGACTGCTGATTTACAGTATTTAGATCAAAAGTTATAAAAAAATTTGTTTCCAGGTCCCACTATACAAATTTTTAAACAATAAAACAATCACTATTAACTGGCAAAAACAAACAGAAAATTCTCATAAGCCATCAAGGGAGTAAGACTCAATGTGGTTTTCTTCATAGGTTCAAATACGTCCTTGGAATTTAAGTGATAGTGATTTTGTAATGGATGGTTCTCAGCCTTTGGATCCCCGAAAAACAATTTTTGTTGGAGGTGTTCCTAGGCCATTAAGGGCTGGTAAGTAGAATGTTAACAATTTTGTTTTAAAAAATCATTTAAATATGTCCTAGTCAATTTAATAAACATTTGGAAGCTATTGTGTACATGACACTATTGGACAGAGCAGGAGCAGATTCTTCATGCTCCAATAGCTGCTAACTACAGAATTTTGAAACAAATTCTGAGACCCCTTCTTGAAACTCAAACTGGAAAATTGAGTGCTTATCTATCAATATTAGTGCAGTAGCTAACTCCAAGCAAATCTATAAGAATCCACCTAAATAATTCCAATTTTCTAAGTGTACCTCTCTAAGATATGAGTATTTGGGCTTTGTTTATTTTGTGTAGATCAATTCCGATATCTGAAAAAGAAATATGGGATTTTTTCTCTTTTATCTATATTTTAATCATTAAAGTAGCACTTTAGATAAGTGAATGATGATAAACTTCTGTTTATCAATAACTAGGAACCAGAAACCTACCAAAATATGTTACATAGGAATATAATTGTAGATGTATATACCCACTTTGCTCACATTAGATGGTACCCTGTACCATGTGTAGAGTGTTAGTGATTTCCATCACTGAAAACATCCTCTCCCCAGTCTTAGAGACATATGTTAAAGAATGATTCATACATGTAAATACTTATAGAATATGATGACTTCTACAAAGAAGTACATAGGGAATAGAAGAGCATGTAGCAAGGAAATATGATTATTTGATATCTTGAAGATATTTGAAGTCTGATATCTTGAAGATATTTGTAGTTGAGCTGACATACAAAGATTGGGCAAAAGGAGTAGGATCAGGATGGTAATAGGGTTCTGAGGAGTATGTTTCACAGAAAGGGAACAGCTTATTTAAAGGTCTTGGGTGGACGGAAACGGTGCTTTGGAGGAACTGAAAGAAGTCCAAAGTGCCTGAGTTGGGATACAAAGAGTGAGGGAGGGGACACAAGGAGACATTGAAAAAGTAGACAGGATTCACATCATACAAGTCTAATAGGCTAACTTGGTATTTACCCTTAGAGCAAGGGTAAACCATTGAAGAGCTTTTAAGCAAAAGAGAGACTTCATCATATTTGCAGTTTTCAAAGTTCACTTTAATGACTCAGAGAGAGGGGGGCCAAGGTAAGAGTAAATACAGGCAGACCAGTTTAGCATCCTATTATTACAAGCCAGGAGATAGACAATGGTGACTTGGATTAGTGGTAGCAGTGGAGAAAGCCAACTGAACAGAGGTGACAGATATTTATGAGGTAAACACAAAGACTGAATCTCATCTTTCAGTCATAAGCCACTGGGTGGACAGTGATGCCTTTTACTGAGATGGGAGGAGCACTGGAGAAGGAGCAGATTGGGAGGGAAGATTGTGGTCTTGGTTTTGAACACAAGTTTATGGCACCATTCAGAGCTGCCAAATAGAAATTTCAATTAAACCATCATATATGGTATATTTTTAATGTATTTTTATGGTGGTATCTGGTATATTTTTTAAGAGAATCACTCCTTATACTGTTTTAAAAACAAGCTGGGAAGGCAAGGGCCAAAAGCAAAGAGAGAAGGCTATTGCCATGAACCAGATGAAAAATGATGTTAGCATGAATCAGGATGTTAGTGACGGAGGTGAGGCGATTGGACTCTAGATATGTTTTGAAAATCAGGTTCACAGGATTGCATGTACAGTATGGAGCAAGGGAAGAATACGGAAAGGATGAAGCCAAACATCTTGACAACTTCATCTTTTCTGTTGCTTTCTAACTGGGTCAGCAGAAACTCATTGGAGCAGGTTTAATGGGATAGGGGAAGATTATGAGTTCCATTTTTAATATACTGAGTGTGGCCAGTGCCTGTTAAATATCGAGTTGTCCACTAGACAGTTGCATATACGAGTCCGTCGTCCAGGGGAGAGGTCCATACTAGAGATAAAAATGTAGGAGCTTAAAAACTTAGATGGTGTTTAAAGCTATGATACAGGATGAAGTTACCAAAGCCAGGAGTGTAGATAGTGTTGCAAGGATTGAAACTTCGGGTACTCTAACATTGAAAAGTTAAGGAGTTTAAGATGAACTATCAAGGAAGACTCAGAAGAAATTTATCAGTGAGGTAGGAGCAGAATTAGTGGGATAATATATTCTAGAAGCCAGATGGAGAAAATATTTGAATGAGAAGGAAGGGATTAACTGTTTTCAATGCTATTTACAGATAGATTGACCATTGGACTTGGCTTGAACAATTATAATGGAGTCATGGTGCGATAGTCTGATTAGAAAGAGTTGAATAAAGAATGGGAGGAGAGGAATTGGGGGGAATACTGGAACAGATTTTGAGAAATTTGGTTGTAAAGGGGAACAGAGAAATGGAGCAGTAGCTAAGAGGGAAAAAAAGTGTTAAGGGAATTTTTTAAGATAGGAAAATTATAGTATACTTGGGAATGATCTAGTGTAAGGGGAAAACTGATCGTATAGAAAGGAAAGGGGAGAATTGCTAAAGCAGTGTCCTTAGTGAGAGTGGATGGGATCTAGTATGCAAGTGAAAGGATTGGATTTAGGAAAGAGCATGGAACTGTTTGTCTATAGGTCAGAAGATAGAGTATATAGTAGGTTTAGTGCTGTAAGTGGGTAGATGTGATGGTGGTGAGTCACTTTATAGTTAAAAAAAAAGGCATCCTTGATCCCCTTCCTTTTTAACAACAGCCTCTTATCTGCCATTCTACTCCTGGTCAAATGATAATATACTATTGACTTCTACATTTTACAAAAAGTACTTAAAAATTGTTGATTCCTGTGTTCTCTCAAATTTGATGTAAACTTCTTTTCCTTTTGAAGTGGAACTTGCTATGATCATGGACCGGCTGTATGGTGGAGTTTGTTATGCAGGAATTGATACAGATCCTGAGCTAAAATACCCAAAAGGTGCTGGGCGAGTTGCTTTCTCCAATCAGCAGAGCTATATTGCTGCCATTAGTGCTCGGTTTGTTCAGCTTCAGCATGGTGATATTGATAAACGTGTAAGTTGCATATTGGGAAATAACTTATGTCCTATAATGAGGTGCTGATCCAAAGCTTCATACCCTAAGGAGTTAATAATATAATTCGAACGCTGTTTAGTTTTTATACTTCTTTAAGTCTTAAAGGATATTACATAAAAATATCCTTGAAATGGAAAATTACTGAACACACTTTAAACTTTAGGTATAATATAAAAATATTAATATCATTGTGCAGCCGTGTCAAAATTTTTTAATCAGCCAGTAAGGTCAAATATTCTAACCATGGAGGCAGAGGTGGTTTTAAGAGCCTGTACATTGGAGTCAGACTGCCTGGGATTAAACCCCATTTCTACAAATTAACCTTCTCTATGCCTCTTTTTCCTCACTTGTAAAATGGAAAACAATGATAATATGTCTTTCTCAGTAATTTTGAGGATTAAATGCATTCACATATACACAAGCACTTAGAATAGAACTTGGCGGAGAGTGTCATTTAAATGTTTGTTTTCATTTGTCACAAAATCTAAAATAAAAATGCATTGTGTATATTTCTCTAAAATAATTGACCTAAACTTAAAATTTTTTTAGTAGCATTGCTTGAATCATCACAATAAGAACTTTTAAGAAGTACTAGGAATGATAACTGAAACCGTATTGAATAATTCCAAGTACTAACTACCTTCTAAAATAAAGACACTAGCATTCATTTAGAACTCTATTTTATGCCAAAATCTGTGAACAGTTCCTATACATAGCTAAACATATTCTAAAATAATCATGTTTATATTTATAGTACAGCAGAAATACATTAAGAATATGGGGGTAAATGGATTTTGTATATCCAAATTAGTAGATAGAAGATATAAGTTGATTGGGTACTCCTTTTCCCCAGTGTAACAGTTTCTTGAAACCTGGGGCTGTTTGGCACATTAAAAGACTATTTTGGGGACAGGGAGGCTGGTTAATTAATACCAATGGACTAGACCATGCATGCTAGAAGTAGTCCTCAATGTAATTACCCAACCATCTCATTTAGAAAAGAAACGCAGCATAGGTTCAGTTCACAAATGCAGAGTGGTTTCCTTTTTGTTTGTTTGCATTGCTATTTAAAAGGTTGCCCAAAAAAAACTAAGAGGAGGTGTTCTGCTTTTGATAAGACATGCATACATAACTTTTCTGAACTTGTCTGAACGTTAAGAGTTCCTCTAATGTTGTGGTTCTCAACCTCTGCTGTACGTTATTCACCTGGGAACTTAGAAAATTCTTGACATTTGGGTCCTACCCCCTGAGGTTCTGCTGAATTGGTCTGAGAGGCAGCCAGGGCAACAGGAGTTTATAAAGCTCCAAAAGTGACACAAATGTACAGCAGTGGTTTAGACCACTAATCCCCTACTTTACAGAGAGGTAATAGGTCACAGGGGACGTTATTTACATAGTATATAATCATGGTATTTAATGTGCAGTAGCAGAAGAAAAAGACTGTTACAGTGTCATACCTCATACCTCTTTGTTTCTGAAATGATAGTGAAGGACCAATTATTTGGAGCAGAGTGTTGACTCTTAAAGAGCAACTCAGTTGCAGAGCAGATGAATTGAGATACCTGTGCCTTCTTAAAAAGGCATTGATTGAAATACCTGAGAGAAAAGCTTATAATAAGATATGTGTTACAAAGGTAATTTTGAACTGTATTTGATAAGAATTTGAGCCTTAAATATTTTACAAGTCAGTAGTATTGCTTATACAAAGAAATATTAAACCATTAACCTTTATACTTTTCATCTCTCCAATATGAATATGGTTATTAAACCATAAAAATGGAGTAAATTTAAGTGTATAACTGCCAACCCAAAGATACACAGGATACATATTTGGAGGGAATAAAAATTGTTATTCCACTTACTTTTTAGACTCATGGATACTGTGGTTTAGTTCCTATCTGATAGCTGGAAAGCAATCACCACAGATGTGTAATTCATTGTATTTTTTTGTATATTATTTCATGAGTGGTATAATTCACTGTGATTTCTCGTAAATGTTAGAAAATAAGACTAGGTGAAGTGTAGTGTTAATGAAACTTCGTTTTGCATGTAGAAGAGTTTAATTATTAGAGATTATTAATGAAAAATAGATTTTGAAATTCAGTTTTCCATCTTTAAAGTCTCTGGTTTTGAGTAAAGTAGGTTAGCTTCATAAACTAATATGTAGAATTTTAAAAATACAGATAATTGAAATCATTGCATTTGCAAAATTTTCGTTCAACAGTTTTATATTAAAATGTAACTCCTGAACATCTGGCACTTTATTATTATGGAAGTGAAGTAAACATCACAAACCCTGGTTTCAATTTCTCTAAAATCTTATTTAAAAAAAAAAAAAAACCATGAGAAAGAAACCCAGAAAACATATGTAAATATATTGCATTTATGCATATATTTATAGCATTTCTACTTCATGCTGGATATTCTTCTAGGCACTGGGAACTGAATGTTGTGCAAATGGGTGCTGTCGCATTGTTCATGGAGTTTATAATTCAGTGAGATGAAATCCAGTAACTGTCTGCTACCTTAATTTATTCTTTAGTCGTTATAATGTTCTTTTTTTATTATAACTATAATTGTAGTGAAGATAATGAATCAAAAATAGCAGCCTGGCAAAGAAAAGATAGAACCCATAAAGGAAAAAGTCGAGAGATAAAGATCAAGCATAAAAATTTTTTAAATTTGTGTTAAAGATTATAAAGCCACTAGGAAAAAGGTTAAAAATTCATAACTGACGAAAGAGAACTCATAAATCAACTTAAAAAAACAAACTCCAGCAAGAAAATATGCAAGAGATACAAACAAGCAATTCAGAAAAGCCAAGTGTCGAATATACATAAAATATATTTATCCTAATCCTTAATGAATGAAATATAAATAACAATGTAATTCCATGACCTATCAAATGAACATCCTAGTTGATTAAAAGTTCTTTTAATCAACTTTTAGGTTGTTTCTAGTTTGTTGTTCTTACAAATAATATTGCAGAAAGTATCCTTATATTCATTTTCTGCACTCATGCAAGTATTTCAGTAGACTACATTCAGAATACAAACTGTTGGGTCATTATTTTTTTACTATAGGCAACCTTTACTTTATCTCAATCCAGTCATTCAGAACACTCAGTGTTCTGTTGTCTCCTAAGGAACAGCTGAGCTGTTACTCTGTCTGGCACTTTTCAGCCAAACGGTAAAAACCTTCCATTCATAAAGTTATCACAAGCAGAAAAGCAAGGCTATTGTAGTTAATAGTAGATAATACTAATTTATAGAATATTTTACCATGTGCCAAGCACTGTCTTATGCTTTGACATTCACAATTTAAGCCTCACAACTCTGAGACAAGATCTGTTATTCCCACTTGACAGATGTGGAAACTGAGGTGGAGAAGTTTATCATTCAGAGCTGACTCCAGTCTGAAGTGTTCTGCCAAGTCAGACCTTCACAACAGGACTTGTACTTTATATCTTACAAATTTACAGAAGTCTAGGCATGCCCTTTGTAAGATTCTCCACAGTTCTGGCTTGTCTGTGCCACTTACTTCCAAGCAGAGTGTGACTCGCACCTGCAGTGGAGAAGCGCTGCCTTAATCAGTGGCTGTTCGGGTTCTGCCATCTCACAGGTGATACTGGAATGAGGGAAAAAGGTGTGGAAACTGTCTTCCATGGCTACTTGAGATCTCTTTTGTTTTTCACTCACAATCTCCCCCAACTCTGAAAATACCAGGACACAGGTGTTTCAAAGATGTTATTCAAGAAAGGTGAGAGTGAAATGTTTTGCAAATCAGATTTTTTTAGATTTTTAAAGTATTTTAACCTACTACACGGTAAAGCTCCTTCCTTGAGAAACTGCCCATTTCCTCAGCTTTTACTGCTGGTCCTTTTTTTCCTCTATAGAAACATTTTAAGTTATTACAGAACTTGATTTCTGAAGCAGACCCTAATGAAACTGACTTTCTTTTTTTTCAAGGTGGAGGTAAAGCCATATGTGCTGGATGACCAGATGTGTGATGAATGCCAGGGCGCACGCTGTGGTGGAAAATTTGCTCCTTTTTTTTGTGCCAATGTCACTTGCCTGCAGTATTACTGTGAGTTTTGTTGGGCAAATATCCACTCTCGTGCTGGACGTGAGTTCCATAAGCCATTGGTAAAGGAAGGTGCTGATCGCCCACGTCAGATCCACTTCCGCTGGAACTAAGAATAGCAAACTGGCCTCTGTTTAACAAGGAAAGAAAGGGTGCATGTGGCTTACTGTGTCTGAAGATACTGACATGCAGAAGAAATAAGTGCATTCTTCTGCTTTTCACCCCAGCTATCAATACATGCATCTTTATCAGCAGCCAAAACACTACAAGCCTCTTGTTTTTCACCAAAACCCTACATCTCAGGCTTACTAATTTTTGTGATATTTTCATGTTAAAATAAAATGTTTTTTTGTATTTTCTCCAAGTTATTTTTATATGTAAAGTTAAAATTAGATATGAGAATGTTTTGCGTAGGGGCAACACAGTCTGCTGCTATATAGTGGGGGAAGCGTGCACTTATTTCTAAACATGGGTTTTTAACTTCAAGATCTGCCCCAGTAATTTACCAAAGGTAGCAAAATAATAGTGAAGATGGAATATGTCTGCTACAAATGCTTATTTTTATTGTTGCTATTTTCAGTGTATACATAAACTAAAAATTAGGGTTGATTTTTTTGCTCTCCATTTTGACTTGCAAGAAATAATACCTCAAGATAATCTGATTTATTAGCTATTTTTAAACATTTTTAATCACAAGCTGTATTAGCTTTGCTGCTATATAGGTGTTATGTGTAAATGCCACCTATTAATACGGGACTGAAAACGTTAGAGACACACTGCATTGCAGATAAAATGCAGGCAGCACAATATGGCCTAAACTGCCATAGTTTTAGAATGTGAAAAAAAATGCATGTTTACTTACCTGTATACACCATATGCATGCACTAGAATTATTAACTAACGAGGTGAGGTATTGCAAATGTTCAAAAAAGCTCTCTTGAATCTAGGTAGCATGAACAAATTATAAAATTTGTTTAAAAAAGCAAACTTGCATGCATTATTGTGACTTCAAGTTTAAAAAATCGTCTTACATGTGTACAATATGCAAATTAGTTTTAGATTAGAGAGTGCAGCCATTTTGTGATCTGGTCAGTAGTGGAATTCGATTTTATGCAGACTGGATGTAATATTTGTAATCCCTGTGCAATTTTGTGACGTGCGGTTCTAATTCATGTGCAGTGATATAGTATAGATAAAAGAATGAGCAAAAGAAAATACAAGAATTCTAAAGAAAGTTGATTTAAGCCCCTTTGATAGTCCATGGTTAAGACATCCTTTATAAACCAAAGATGGCCAGCACACTGCTAACCAGTCACCAAATGTAAGACCCATAAGAAACCCATATTTAAAAATCTGAATTTTATAGAAGAATGCAAAACTTTAGTAAACCCTAAG